GTAAAACTTCAAAACAAAAAAAAAAAAACGATATTTAATAATACTCCATAACAACTTTAGTTTGTAGCAATTTGATTAAGAAATATAGGTAATAACCGGTAAATGCAATGTCATATGCAAACAGGTTGTTGCGCAAACCTCGTCAGCATACCTGTAGATAAAACAAGAATTATTTACCAATAGCCGCTGTATGATTCAACTTTCAGTTAAATGTGTCCATTTTAAATGAACATCTAAAAGAATTCTTATATTGTTCAACTTTTAAAAATTGAAAGATTTGGAAATAAATTCCAGGTGTGCTCAATGACTTTAAACAATACAAATAAATAATGATTGGAATAATTATAAAGTATAATCAATGTAAGTCTGTTCAAAATGTATCACTGTGACTTCTATTTATACGTTTTTTGAACGCTCGTTTCATGCTGATAAGTTTTGATTTGGCTTTACTGTCTGTTGGTGAAACGTTTCCAGAATTCAAATTCTTTATATATTCCCTCTTTAGCTGGCACAATATTTCGTCCATCACCTCAAATACACCATGGCTTCCGTCTGCTACAGATATTTCAAATTTTTGACAGTCGAAGCGTTCTCCAGTTTCATTTATCTCATCTTCCGTAATTTCTCGCGCAGACACAAGAGGTCACAAAATATAATAAATGATGTCTAATACATATGAGCCGCGTCATGACAAATCCGACATAGTGGGTTTGCGACCAACATAGATCCAGACCAGCCTGCGCCTCCGCGCAGTCTGATCAGGATCCATGCTGTTCGCTATCAGTTTCTCTATTTATTATAGGGTTTGTAAGCGAACAGCATGGATCCTGATCAGACTGCGCGGATGCGCAGGCTGGTCTGGATCTATGCTGGTCGCACACCCATTATGTTGGTTTTGTCATGGCGCGGCTCAATTATGTCGGGTTACATTGTCTTTGCTGGTAGCACTTGCAGGGCGGCATAACCAGTGTGGTTTCTCTCGTGCGCCGATAACTCTGATCTTTTCCAGAAGTTTTGCAATGTAGTTGCAATCTATCTTGAAAACAATGTAAATATTTTAAGTATAATTAAGGAATTGTAAACTGAATAACAACTTTGTTATTTTACAGACAAAGAAATAAAACACAATATGTTTTTATTGTAGACACAATTTTAAATTTTTAAATGCACTAAAGTCGATCATTTTTGGATTTCAATAATTACACACCTTTCTGTTTAATTGTTTTTACTTCTGATAAGTTGGAGAACAAAATCTAAATGTAAATATAAAAGTTTACGGACTAAGATAATTTGTTTGTGGCGTAAACTTGACGTAGAAATGAAGGAAATTTATGGCATAATTCGCGACCATGGCGTCCTTAAACATGTACCGTTAATTACATAATTATGCTATAAAAACAACTGATTCCTTATTTTGAAATAAAAGAAAACATTTGATCATGAAATTGCTTGTTTTACTTATTATACGTTTTTACTCATTTTATACAAATGTATGGCCTTCTACGATAAAAGATGTCAATATTATATTATCGTTGATTTTATGGTTCTAATGAAGGAAGAAAGCTTATCTTTATTCATTTTGGTACACCATTATACCGTCTCGTGTGGATTACTAAAGCTGCTTTTGCAATTTTCTCACAATGCAAACAATGTTCTCGAAAACTTTAAACACTTGGTATTGATATTTGATGAAAGTGACCGTGCATATGATAGGCAAGGTCTAGTTTGGATTTAGGAAAGTGTGTTTTTTGTTTTGTTCTTTTTTTTTGTTTTTTTGCTGAATGACAATAAATTTTAAACTATTTTAAATTCCCAACATTCAGCAACACTCATGTCCTTTAATCCCTCAATGAAACACTACTTACGGTAATTATACAGTATATAGAAAATGATCGATTTGTTAAAAGATACATTACTAGTTATCTTAGTATGCTGTAAATTTACATATATAAGAACTGATATTCGGAATCAGGAATAAATACTTGACTTAGTTTCGGAAAGCAAATTTAACAAAACTTTCCTATAATTGTGCCAGTCATTGTGCAATATTCTTTCTAAACATTGAAATTAAATGTTTAAAGTCTTTGCTGACCTTTGGCTTTCTTCATTTTTGGAAGCACACACCATGACACATTGAAATAAGTAATAATTTTGGCAATATATGGATAGCAAAACGGATATAAGTATGGGATAACATCTTTTTATGAAATGTTCAGACAAAGAATATTCGGGAAGGAATTCAGTTGACGTCATAAACTAGAATACATGTGTGTAATACTTTGCGATACATTCATAGGTCTGATTACACCCCTAGACACTCCCAAGAAAGTGAACAGTGAAACATTCGACCGATGCACAGGAGAATAAGGACTGATGTGATATTAGCATATTATTTGTATAAATAACTATATAAATTAAAGAAAATTATTTAACATTCTATCTGCATGATTTTTTTTGTTTGCAACTTAATGATTTTCAACAACAAAATGTGCACCATGCGTTCAATAGCCTTAATATTTGATAAAAATATATTGTAAAAGTAAAAAAAAAATGCTAAAAAGCGTTTAGCTAAATAGTTGGCAAAAATAATTCTGTAAAAAAATACACGCTGTAATGATAGCACATGTGATGCATAGATGACATTAACTTCCTAGTACAAATCTATAAAGATCGTTGCAAATGAAACAAAGGGACAGACGATAGGATTCGGAGCACTGACACAGGTAAACTTTTATCATGTTAAAAGTTCGTAAACGCTCAAAACATATACGTATAAATAACTATATTTATGAAATACTATTAAAGTTTTTCGTTGGATTTGACTATAGTATGAGTTAAATGAAGAAAAAAACAAGTACGATATTTGTTTTGTTAATTGAAAACATAGAATAATGAAACGACATCCAATACAAATCACACACTTGTCTGGTATTGTTTACATGTATCCAGGGAGCGACAATCTTCATATTTGCTATTCTTTTTTCTTCCTCAAAAGGCAAACGGAACTTTCGTATTAGTATCAGTGTGGAATAAAAAAAGGAAATGCATAAATGTGATCAAAATATCATTATCCTAACAAAACAAAATACTTTTCTAAAACTGGTTATTTCCAAATCATTATATACATTTCTTATTAACATATGTTTCGTTTTCTAGTTTCAAGAACCTAAAATATGTCTGTTCTTTCGCTCACAATCATGGTTCTCCTATCTTTAGTGATTGGAGAGGTAGCACCATGTTATACTTACGGCAAGACAGACGGTTGCAGTATTCCTGGTGACCTACCATTCTTCTATAAAGGAGCATTCAGGTCTGCCTGTGACCGACATGATGTTTGCTATGCCTGTGTAAGTTTCTTTCTTGACTTCTCTTTTGTTCTACATAAATGCTTTTTGATTTCATATCTATATAACTGTTATTGTTGTTGTGTTTTCATAACTACATAAAATCATACTGTAACGATAAATAACGACTTTGGGGTGACATATATAAGTGTCGTGTACTATAACACATAGGCTTAAACCAATATTTTATCAATAAATGCCTCTTAGTAAATAACTTGGGTATTCAGACTAAGAAATAACTTTTTTTCCGCCAGTTTAGAAATGGTATTTTGTTACAAAGACTATTTATTTTTAAGGGCTATGGATCAGGAGTGTCACGATCTGTATGTGATAGGAGATTTTACAATAATCTCCTATCTCGCTGCCAAAGGGAATCGTTTTGGATGAGAGAATTTTGTCGCAAAATCGCTGAAATCTACTATAACGCTGTCAAACACAATGGTCACGAATATTACGATGTTCCATCACTAAGCTGGTGTGGAAGTTCATGGGTCCCAGGATGTATGTAATGCCTATTCAAAATAATGATTGACGTTTGACATATAACTTTTCGTCATTATATATCTTTTCATTTTATAATGTAGTGACAAATGAATGACATTATTTGCCGGTGTGTTTAATCTCGTTTTCCATAAGTAATTCTTTTTTTATATAAAATTAGTGTACTTATTTATAGATTTCTAAACATGTATAAATATGAAATTAATTTAACGGCAAACATTGTACAATCTTTTAAACTTGTTCTACTAGCTCAATTTACGCAACATGAACAATTAAATGTTTCTTTTTCTCTGTTTGATCCGATTTTATTACAAGTAAGAGAAATAAATGATTAAGTTGTCAAATAGCATATGCTCTTGTTTCAAGTTCCTGTTCCCTTAGATAGTTTGCTTTCCAGTTTTCTATGACAAAGTTAAATGATATACACATTTATATTAAGAGACTGCGAAAAAAGTGAACAATGCCTTGACATTAAGTATACACTGTTTTTTTGTTTTGTTTTGTGGGTGTGTGTGAGAGAGTGTGTATGCGTGCGTGCGCGCATGCGTGCGTGTGTGTGTGCGTTGGTGCGTGTGCGTGTGCATAACTTTCCCGTCTAAGTTGAAATTAATAGTGAGTTCCCAAATATATAATTCGAATATCAGTTGATATAGAAACAAAATGTTACAGGTTGGTGTGTGTTGTTCAGTACAACCAGAACCATATGAAAAATATTTAACTAGTCTCGATACTATTTAATGCGTTTAATCAGAGAAAAAAAAACGAAAAGAACGTTCAAAAAGGAAAAATTAAAATGCAGCAGAGTCTGTTCATTAAAGGTAGTGCACGTGGTAATTGCTAGCTACCATCCACGCCCCAAGCACCGGATTTAGCAGCATTCGACATTTAAACATGAAAATGATGATATGTTGAATTTAGAAACATTCGCAGATATGTCAAGGAATCAAGAAATCAGGAATCAAGCCTTGTCAATAAAACTATATTGTATCTGGACATTTTAAATCGGGACATATGTTGTTATTGTTATCTCCCCTTCAAATGTAGATGTCTGCTACTGAGTCAGTAAGCAGGGAGAAGGGTACAGAGCTTTTGCATGAAAGATTAACCACATTTTATTGAATTTAAACTGTAAAGATAAATTTAGAATTAAAAAATGAAATTTAAATTTTGTAAAAAGCAGTTTATAAATTGTAAAAAAAAAAATTTGCACCCTGTGTTTAGCAATTTACTATAAATCTAGCTTATTTTTAAAAGATTTATATAGAAAATGATAATTTTTAGAGAAATGCATCTTAAATTATGGATAAATTATGCATTGCAAGGAATTGGCGAGTGTGTGGTTTCAGATTGGTTACATTGGTAAAAAAAGTGATTGGCAAGCTCATTCCAGAGATCTCTAAGGGGCACAAGAAGCACCGGCCATGGGATTCGAACAAGCACCATAGTAGCCTATTGCTCATATGGACCACACATTATAATTATGTTTTGATGTTTCAGCAAAGGATTGATGCTGTAATTATCAGTATGTAAATATTCACTATTTTTTTTGTATTTCAATGAAGCAGAACTGACAATTGAACAGGACAAATGTGATTTATAAAATTTGGAAATATAGGCATTTTCAGTGTAGTGAAACTTGATGTTTTGCTGTGTTGCAGACTGTATTTGCTATTAATATATACACATAAAATATTTTCTAGTCATTAAACAGTGTACTTTATGGATAATTGGCTCATTTAGAATAACACAGTTGATATGATTGTTGTTGTTGTTGTTGTTGTAGCTGCTACATCAGTTAATTTAGGTTAGATTTATAATGTCTAAACTGCTATTTTCATGCAGGCATGCATTTTTCAGCACACAATATTTATACAAGCTCTCCTGTGTGAATTAGCAAATCTAGCCATTGATTGATTAATTAAGACATTATTTTCTTTCATTTTCAGATATCAGAATTATAGCATAAATGCCTCTTATAATTTTCTTAGGCATGTACTAGTGTTGCATATTTTTTCAGACCGTGCAGTTACCAAAGCCTGGGTTTGAGTACAGGACCTTACCTTATCCTGGTGAAGATCTATGGAAGGACTCCTTCAGCTCAGTTTGGCAGCAGCTTTGTCAGGACACATTGAGAAGGTAATAACTTATGTCTAGTTTGAAACTTCAGCTATTGACGGTTAAGCGACTCCCAATGCTCGGGCAATATTTGGTAGTTATTTTGATGTATATCAGGAGAAAATTTCTCTAATTCTGACTATATTAAGACTTCTCAATGATTTAAAGTGGGAGACGGTATTTGTCATCTTTTTTAAGCCTTATTTGTGTGAGAGTTGGCTAATCTTACTTTGTCAGAAGACATAGCCCATGGTGATATGGTAACCTCTTTGCTAACCTTAAGATTACCTCTGTTTGTCTTTATTGATATCTTAAGCAAACAATGTAGGGTGTGTATGTTAGTTCTTTACTTTATTTACCATGGTATATAGGTAAAAATCATAATCAGTAAGTTTTATTACAATATTGAAGGAAAAAGTAATGAAAAAAACACATTTAATTGTGATTACTTGTATTTTAACCCAAAATTTCATGCTCCCATTTAAAGAAATGGAGTTTTAATTACAATTTTTAAGCAATAAGGTCTTATTCTTAGATAAAAATAACTGTATGACATTAGCCGGTAATATTAAACTTTTATATTTGAAGAAAATCCATTGACAGAATCAAAAGATATGACAGAATTTGTAATATAAATTTTTGCGTAAAATTCTATTGGCCGAGCCTGACTTTTCGCATGAAGGTTCATATTTAAGAAATTGTACTGCATTAATGTAATTTGTTAGAGACATGTCAAACCTATATGATTGTACTTGTATAACACTAAATTACTAGGAAATGAGTATAAAGTTTGGCTTAACTTAAATTTTGGATTCATTTAGGTCTCAACCCGGTACGGAATTAGACCGAACCCATTGTAGTCTAGAAAGTAGTTCTTTAAAATTTTGAAATGGCCCAATTTAAGTCATCTCTAGTTAGATTGGTCATAATTAAAGTGTATTTATTGCATGTGTGTAGTTTTTGTGTGTTATATGATGACTTTAAAAGTTATTTTTTGTGTATTCTCCAGGAACTCATTTGTTGGTGGAAGGATTAAAGATGTACTACCCACCAGCTGTCAGGAGTTTTTAAAGAGGTGAATTTAAACAGTGTTACAACAGAATGAAGATTTCTGAAAAAAGTAGATGGCTAACCTATTATATTTTGGGCCTCATTGGACTTAGATAGTGTTAATGTTTAAAGTTGAAGACAGTATATAATTCATCAAGAAAAGTGGAATCCAGAATTAATTAAGCCTCAAATTTGACTGATTTACTATAGAACAAATAGTACGAAAATTCACCGGTCCGAGTCCATAACTCGATCATGCGTGATTTGGTAAGCAGGACCACCCTTTGAAGACGGAATACTACTACAGTCACAATTTTCTATTGTATAAACTAATACAGACAAAAAACAATTATAAAAGAAACTAACTTTTGTGTCTTGAAAAACAATTGAAACGGAACAATTTCGTTTATAAGTTATTACGGTTTAAACCGATAAATCAAGTAAAGATAGAAATCCTATTAATATAAACAAACTGGGATTACCGACGTAACTAAAATAGCTTAGATTTCCGTAATATTACTTCGTCTGATTCCACAGTATGACGGAATCGCCCGAATTGTCACGATTGCAATCGGAACTACATCGGCTATTATCATTAATCCGAAGAGTGACGGAAAAGGCCGAAAAATTGCGATTGGCACGATTGCAGCTGGTTTCCCGTTCAATCATGCACTAACAATTGGAAACAGGAAACCACCTTACCGGATCAAGTTATTCAAAACAAATGGCTAACAAGTAAAATGGTTTCCTGCGGTAAACATTTTAATGATGTAAAGATATTTCATTTAACTATTTTCAACATAATTTGGGGGGGGGATAAATAAACGTTTGTATCAGGAAAAATTATATAGTTGACAATAATCGATCAATATAGAAGGTCTTTGGAAACTGATGACCGTTGAAGACCGGAGAAGGTCGAACATAAAACAATTATTTCTTTTTAAGAAAATGATTAAATAGGCCTACCATTTTATGAATAATTCCGAACAGAAAATAAATAAAGTAAACACACAAGTTTACGCAGAAAATATCTCTTTTTATGGCAGATGCCACTACGAATATTTTAATTTTGTAGATTTTCAAACAATTTATTGTTTGTAAAATTTGAGATAGATATTAAAGAAACATTGATAATTTTCAAACACATCATTCAAGTTTTTTCCACATTAAACGGTAAAATAATTATAGAAAATTATAAATATCACGTAATAGTTTTTTGTTCTCAATTAGGTATAATTCGGACTAATACCCTACAGGTAAATCCGTAACGTACCGGCAAATGGTATTTAGCTGGGTTTTCGAAAAGGTCAATTAACCAATCATATACGGTTTACAGATCACATGCTCCTCCATGAACCGAAAACAGGTCACGTGCTCCTCCGTGCCTCAAAAGTTAAACGCGTACCAATACCCTGCGGTCTCCAGACCGCAGGGAATAAAGTTTCCTTTTAAAAAGAAAGGCTTGCACAGTTGTGCCTTCATCCCAACCCTTTAAAATTGTTTTTGTTTTTTTTTTGGTTTCAATTTATTATCACATTTTTTTTGAATTACGGTATTTGTATATCATAAAGGGTTTATTTAGTTGGGTTTTTTTTTTGGAAAACCGAATATTTTTTGTCAAAACGATTTGAAATCTATTCTCTATTGTATAAAACTAATAAAGAAAATGATCAAACGTGATACTGAAGGAAAACAAGTGTGCACATTTCATTTCCCCTTTTTCGCAGCGAAATCATTCCTTTGCTTTATAGACAAGTAAATGCACTAAAATACTTCGTTACGTGGTACCAATTAATAAGCATGTATCAACTATGTTACACGAGATCAGCACGTGGCAAGGTTAATGATATGCATGGGCTATTTTTAGATTACCTCACCCGTTCAGTAGATCTAAATATAACTCGATCATGCGTGATTTAGTAAGCAGGACCACCCTTTGAAGACGGAATACTACTACAGTCACCATTCTCTATTGTATAAAACCACGGATGTAATTTAAATCCGTGATAAAACTAATACAGACAAAAAACAATTATAAAAGAAACTAACTTTAGCGTCTTGAAAAACAATTGAAACGGAACAATTTCGTTTATAATTTATTACGGTTTAAACCGATAAATCAAGTAAAAATAGAAATCCTATTTATATAAACAAACTGGGATTACCGAAGTAACAAATATAGCT